AGTCTTCATATGATTCTGGTTAATGTGCACATGTGTGACTCCTTTCAAATGAAACGACAAAATGCACAGATGATGAGGGAACGCTGTGCTTCTTGGCAGAAAGATTCAGTTGTTTTGGGAAGATGTCAGAGCTACGTGTCGAAAATAAATTCGACTTAAAGAAAGAAAGATGTTTTTATTCAGCTGAGCCGCTGTGTGTTGTTTCATTCTTCTGACTTCTGTGTACAGCAGCAGACTTGGGTGTGGATGTGAACTTGTGTGAGAGGGAGGTGACAGCCGACAGCTCTGGGGAGTTTCTGACTCCGAGCCGACACGGCCCGGGGTCCGTTCTCCAAACTCTGGTCGACTTCCTGTCGGAGACTCACAACAGCCTGGTGAGAGAGGCCAGGCGAATGAGCGGCGCCGAGGACAGGTCAGTCCAACATCGGCCGCAGAGGCTCGTGGGCCACAAGACTAAATCAAAGTGCCGTTTTCTTCTCAGCTTCCTTAATTAAATAACTGTTAAATTACAGGTGAAGCATAATTGGCAAATAATCTTTTGTAGGGATCGCACTGAGACGAATTAGAAATCTAACAAGATTCCAGATAACTATATACAATCAATAAAAATAAACGAACAAAATTCTTGTAAATTGCTGCCAGATTTTGGACATTAGCAGGAAAATAACTTGCAAAGTGATGCATGTGTTGCTGTGCACTTCATGCTTCAGAATGATAAAAAACTACATTTTGTCACCAGTAACTGATGTAACATCCTGTTAGAGCCCCTCTGGCCTCTCTAACTGTTAAAATCTTCTCCTGTTGTTTCCTCAGTGAGTACAGCGTTCCTTTGGAGAGGATATCAGAAACCCAGCTGACACTGTGCCACCCAGAGAGAGAGCTGCTGCCCCTGGTTTTAGCCCATTGCCAGTACACCTTGAAGAAAGGGGGCGAGACTGACAGCAGCTATGACCTGCCAATCATCCAGACCCAACTGGCACGCCGCTTCCTGGCTGGAAAACCACTTATCAAAGCGGTAATAATCTAAAATGCACGTGGATGTCAGGTAAAGCCAAACTCTCTACTGACCTTTTGTCCTCTTTGGTCTAAATCAGGACACCTCGAGGTACCTGAACCGACACCTGCAGGATTTCTCCATGGTTCTAACTGAAGTCAAAAAAAAGATTCCTCAGGTAAAACCATTTTACACACTGCTGTTGTTATCTGGAACTGACAAATGCCAGCTGAGGAATGTTCTCACTAGTTCCTGTGAGGCCACTTTGTTCAAGTTAAATTCCTCCCCTGACGTTTTGCTCCTCGGGCCCACTGACAGCGTCTGTCTTGCAGGAACCGCTGAAGGGTTCGGTGAGCAGTGCCATAAAAACAGTGCTGCGCTCTTACACGGATGTTTGCGATGCTGTGTTTGTGGTGGAGATCGGCCTCCGATTCCTCGGGAAAACAGGCGGCGAGCCCCAGGGTCAGCTTTTGTCCTACCTCACTGATTCACTGCAGATGGGCCCGCAGATTTCAAGCACCGTAGCCAAGGTATAATGTTGCAGATCTGCAGCTTTGCCCGCTATGCAAAGAAAGTTTTTATGTTTCTGTCTTTGAAAACTCCAATTATTGTTTGAATTTTGACATAAATCTGTTCTGTAAATCTGAAGTATACTTGAGCTGTGACTGAGAGGTGAAAACAACATTTCAAACTTCTGTTTCTATTCAGGGTCTTGGCCAAAGCAAACTGGAGCACAGCATATTCACCTGGCAGCTTCTGACTTGCTGGAAATCAGAGCTGATGCTCAACAGGAAGCAAGTAAGTGTGAAGAAAATCTTAAAATTCAAGGAATGTTCTCGGTGTGCTCGTTATGCCGTGTGCGGCTTCACCAGCGCTCATTAAAAGAGCCACAAAACTCCACCCATGGTGACCACACAATTTGTTTTCGAGTCAGTACTGTCACTCGTGACCTGCTGGCTGCCAGGGACTGACCCCAAACCACACCATGCAGAGTGAATTTTTCGCAGCTGTAATCTGTGGAAAGTGTGCCGTCTGACACGGCAGGCGCCCAGAATCTCACCCCAATAAAAACAGAGAATTATTTTCTCTTTAAAAACTCTCTTGATACCTGAAATCAAGCAGAAGGCTACATCTAATTCATGATCATGTTGCAGGATCCGTTTCAGAAACTGCCGTCTGAGTTCCAGGAGAAGCTTTCGGAAGAGCAGAAGAAAGACCTGAAGGCCTTCCTCGCTGTCACAGACGTCGACACCTTCACTTTGGAGCTGCATGAAATTCTTCTGCTGAAGACGAGCAGCGCTGTGCCTGACCAGGCTTACCAGCCACACTGGGAGTAAGAGCGTACACATCACAAATGCACCATTTGTGAGATTAGTTGTTGTATGAGCTAACACACCAAATGGTAAAACAACACAAAAACAATAGCATTATTGATGTTTTTACAGCTGAGATTACCCAACAGCTATTTTTGGACTTTCTTTTTTCAAAAGTGTGCCTTTTGTTAGCGTAAGATTACCACCCCAGTCTAAAGGAATCCATTGATTGTAGACAGCTTTAATGAGAGTAAAGTGTGGCGGTCTCCCCCCCCCGGGATTTGGAGCCTTTTGACTTCCAGGGACAACAGCGTGACCCCTCCAGGCAGCCATCTGTCAGAGGAAAGCAGCTTAAGTTGTGTCCCCTCAGCCACAGGTCATTTCTATTGCAGCAGCAGCTGGGTGGGAAGTGAATGGGAATGCTTAAGGATGACAACAATGGATGCAGTGCTAACAGTTGTTTTCTTCATGTCCTCCCTCCCTGCTGTGTGCAGCATCAGGTCCACCTTAGAGAACCATCTGGAGCTGAAAGACCTTCCACCCCTGCCGGAGCTCGAGTCTTTACCAGAGGAGATCAGGCTGGGACAGAGCGCTGATGTGTGGAGGGCAGCTGTGGAGTTTAAAAGGAGATAGAGAGCAGAAATGTTTCTAGAGTTGGCTGCCACATTATTGGATACGTTGTTATTAAATGTGCCTTTATACGATGTAAATATTGTAAATAATTACAGTTGTTAAATTTCTATTACTTAATTGTGCCACGTGCAATCAGGGAACAAGTTAATGAATAAATTAAGGACCTAATACAGATGAGGTATTTCCCAGCATGTCCACAATCTTTATTTTAAACTTTCATCACATACAGAGTGATTAGAAGCCATGACAATCACTCACACACACAGTATGAAGCATCAGGCAGAAAACCAGTAAATCAAAGATAATAAAGACATGTTAGCATGGGAACATGCTCACTTAATTTTAAAGATATTGCACAGTTTTATTTCTTCTATTTTCCTTGAATGCAAAGAATGATCGATTTGGAGATTTAGTGCCAAATAAAATAGATTGGAAAAAAAAATGGTCTGAGTCTTTTAGTATGAAGTGATAAATTCTCTTGGTGTGAACGCTGCACATTCTTGCTCTAACTGTACAGCTATTGAATTTTATATACAAATTATAGACACATTTTAGCTCAACTTGAATGTCTGGCTTCTTTCTCACGCTCTTATTATGTAAACCAGACTGCTGAGGGTAGGTAACCTGTTATATTAGCCATCATAACCACAAGTACCTAGAAGGTAAATTTATAGTTAACATTTAATAATTGCTTATTAGTTCTTGAAGACTTTGTGCCAGGTCTCTTGCCTTTCCGGTCAGCAATACAAACAAAGTTAGTAGCATGTAATGAATATAAAGAATGAAGCCTTTATTCTGGAGCTGTATTAAAGGAAAACTTTATGTAATGCTAACTTAAGTTGGGTCAGCTCACTCTTAAAGCGTATAACGGTGCTATGTGCGGATTATTTTATAATAATTTAGAGAAAATCTTGTTTTTTCCTTCACGTCTCCTTTTTTGCAATGTCAACCTAACCGTGGTTTGAGACGCGCCCCCCTCCAAGCCCCCTGAAATATGCGCAGCATACAGACGCCTCTGAACTACCAATCAGGTGCAAGAATGAGGAAGCTTTAGTTTGGTTTCCGCCAATCAGAAACGTCGAAGGGAGGCGATTGTCAGTGTTGCCACAGCGATGGTGTTAAAGCGTTATATTTGTGCTGTGAGTCAACGGACTACTTTCACTGGTTATCAGAGGATTGTGTTGGGGATTAACTATCAGTGAGGCGTCCTCAGGCTCTCCAGCTATGGTGCCATCCAGCTTTTAAAGTAAGTACTTGACGCTGACGTTATTGTTTTTACGACGGGCGTTTTTGGCAGGTTGATGGGACAACATTAAAGGAGTGAACAGTTAGCTCTGACCAGACTTGAGTTAAATAACAGCCGTTTTTATTTCTCTCCAGCTGAGCTACATCAGAGCTTTACAGATTTGATTTGCAAATCAGAAGCAGTGACTTGATAGCTTATTGTGTTTTAATGCTTTTAAAGGGTAAAACAGACAAACACACCGATTTTCACAGGTTTAGCCAGCGGGGAGACCAAGCTTACGCAGCTGTAATAACTGCGTTAGCTTAGTGTAACTAACGTTAGCGTGCTGGGGGTTTGTTTTGCTTCACTTTCTCGTTTGTAACGACCAATAGAGACTTCTGTGGTTGAGAATAGACGTTTGGCTAATGTAGTTAACAAAGGTACACCTGCCGGAGTGTCGGGAGCGAGCATGTTGTAGGAGAGCTGCTCGGAAAGGTAAACATTCACGGTAGCTTCACGCCTCAAACATGCCTTATTTATGGCTAAGTGGGCCGAACCAGTCTAAATAAATAAAAGGTCAAAAAATAATTCACGGTACCGATACTGTCGCGTTATTTATAGCACGACGTTTTATTTAAAACTAACGTGACTGGTGTTATTCTTCATTTGTTGAGGGGCATTGCAGCTGACGTCAGGTGAAGAGTCTCAGGTGAGCACCTGTGGCAGGAAGCACAGGTTGATTGGAGGTGTAATTAAAGGTTTGGGAGCATCACAGAAGATTTTCAGATTCCAAAGTTTGGGAATATTTTTCATAGAAATTAAGATAACTGCGCGACTTTGTTGTGGAAGGTGTTTCGGTATTTTGACCTTCCTTCAGTCCAGTGCTTCTCAACCAGTGCAGGTGGGGAGCAGCTATCATAAAATGTCATAAAATGACTTAAGTAAAGTCATTTTGTTTGTTTGTTGGATTCTTTTTTTTAACTGCTGAGTTATTCATCCACGAAGCAGGTAGATACGGTTGCTTTAAAGCAATTACTGAAAGAGAAGAGTTGTGATAAACTCCATCCCACTCATTTCTTAATATTTTGCTCCAATGACTCAGAATGTCTTGCCATTTTTAAAGTAGTCTTGAACAATAGTTCTCCAGGCTTTCTTAAGGTCGCTCAAATTTTTTCTTTGGGAGTGCATTTCAGCCTGTGGACTGTCAAAATTGATAGAATTATGCAGTAGCTTCTGGAAAAAGCCTGATTGGCAGTTGCTTCATTTTGCAGTAAAAGCATATCAGACTCAGAATCACAGTCAGAGAGACTTTATTTATCCCCGAGGGATATGGAAAGAAAAACACACACTACCATGGCTCAGTCTCCACAGAGCCTGGACATCAGCATTACTGAAGCATTGTCAGATCATTTTGACAGAGAAAGAAAAAGCAGTGAACATCCACAGAAGAGCTTTGAAACCCAGAGAACTATTCCTGAAGATGCTTGGAAGAGAGTTCAGGCTGTGCTGAACAATAAAGGCAGTCTTACCAAATATTAACCATGCAAACTTTTTATTTATTTTTTTATCATTGAGTTAAATACACCTCTAAATCATTCCCATTTTTTTAGTGTAATGATGCAAACTCAACTAATTAATGGTTCTCTGGGAAAAACTTTGCCCACCCTTGATTAAGAGCCTGAGATATCTAAGTGCTTGTTCAATATTATTTAGCAATATAAGTCTATTTTTCTGTATTCAATCTGCTCAAATGTAAAGCTGTCAGTTGTTAGGATTATTGAAAGAAGCAACAGTAGTATTTTACTTCTTTGTGATCCAGACAACTTGTGAAGAGCTGTAAGCGCTTTTCTCCTGTGTAGTAATCCTGGAGTAGGAGTGCATTTTAATGATAAAATTCATGTTATCAATGCAATATTACCACTATGCAGCTGTCCGTCAGGATCATTCGTTAGTTTTCACATCTCGCTCTGTTTTTGAGCTGGTGTAAAAGTAGTGCGTGGTGTTGTTGTTGGTTACCACGGGAAACAAAGCGGCCAGAGGAAAAAATGGCTGATATTTCCTCTATTGTTGTGGTTTCACACATTGAATCCTCAGGGAAATGGCATTTGTGGCCGACCGTGTCGATTCAACTCTGTTCCAGGTTTTTAAAGGATGCATACGACACGCAGCCCTTCGTCCATCCCATCAGGTGTCTCAGGAGACGCCCTGGATCTCAGCTTGTCAGGCTCCCAGCTGTCTATGTCCAAAAGGCCCAGCAGTGCGTCGCCGGGGAAATACTTCTCTCGCTCTGTTTCGGTCTCTGTGGCGGGCGATAGCAGAGGCAAACGCAACACTTTAGTGAGTCACAGATAATTAAATCAGAATGTGGAAATGCTTGTTTCGGAATTCTTCACATAATGTCTGGAATGCTCTTTATTCTGCAGAGCGACACCAGCTTTGGCAGCTCGCGATCCATCAAGAACTTGAGGCGGTCCAACAGCACCACGCAGGTCAACCAGCAGGCCAACATCAGGTACAAACATAGAATCTGGGCTCTGTACAATGAAGCACTTCAACATAGCCAAGATGTCTTTTACTTGCACTTCTGCTGACATCAGCAGTCACGTGATTATGATTATGAATGTCATAAATCAACCCAGCTTTTATCAATCTGTCTGTGAGCGCGTTCACATGAAAGGGACGATGTTGGCAACAGAGCGACTGATTTTAACAAATGAAGATAAACTATTGGAAAAATATGTGGAGGTTAAACACGATACAGACTGAAAGTAACACAACTGCTGCAGGTAAAACAGCAGAATGTGAGTGTGTGCAAGAGGGAAAGTATAGTAAGTGCTGCTTGAATGTGTGTGGGCTTTACACAAAGAGCTGCTATCCTAATACAAGTCAGTCTATTTAAAGCCAGTAAGAAAAGCTGAATTTGTAAATTAACAAATTGAATTATTGGTATCACAGCTCCATCATTAAGATAAAGACAGTTGCGTACTGTCTTAAATTAATGTTTAGATGTGCACACAGTCTTTAATCTGCAGTGACAGTGATGTTGAACAGTCTGTGGGTGAAGAATAAATACAAAAACAGAATTCAAATAGAGACTTAGCCTACATACATGATTAACAAGTACTTTAGTTACCTTTACTTATCTGGTATTCTATGTTGAAGGATAGAGAAAATAAAATAGTTTGTAGCAGCAGAAAAAAAGCAAAGCTTCACCAAAGAACGCAGAGAAAGAAAAAGACGTCCTTCCAGGAGGGGTGATGCTGTTTTCTGGAGAACTGATTATGATTGGATGTTTGATGATTTCTTATCTCAGTAATACTGTGAACCAGAGCAACGCACCCCAGTAAGAAGTGTGTTAAACCTGGAGTTATCTGGATGAGCTCCTGCTCCTTATTACAAACCTGTCGGTAATAGCACACTGTGACTGTCCGACATTTGCAGCCCTGAATTTCTATTTCCTTATCTCTGACATTGACAATCTGCAGTTTATACAGAACACTTTGTACTGAGACACACACTCTGCTAATCAGCCTGGGAAAACCTGCTTTTGGGCTCTGTTAGCTCATCAAGCATCATTCCACTAAAGCACAAGATCTGAAATCTGAAGGTCATGTTTGTAGTCAAAAAGAATGCGTGCATCTTCGATAATGTGCAGGCTTGAAGCCGTGTGTGTCTCTTTCACCTTTGCTCTTTAAACCAAAGTGCCTCTCTTCAGCGAGCAACAGCTGGCAGCCCCAAAGCTCCGGCAGCTCGGACAATGGGAATTTTGGCGCGCCGGCTCTTGCATGATAAAGAGCGGAGGGGTGCCGGGTGGCTGTTGCTGGGGGTTGCAGGGTGCATAGACTCGCTTTGTCCCTCATTAGAGGGGGAGGGCTGGTACCTCTGGGGTCAGGTTACCCCCTTCCACAAGGACACAGTGAAAGGAGAAGAAGTGTGTGTGCATGCTGTGGTTGCATTGTGTGGCAGCTGCCGCCCTCCCCTTCCTGCCTCTGAGGATGCAAAGCTGAGGGGCTTTAAATGTAAAGACATACTAAGCACTCCCCTCACCCTCCAAAAGTCTCCAGAGTCCTTTTCGGGCTGTCATCGGGTCACTCGCCAGCCCTCTCCCTCTCGGCGGCTTCCTCCTCCTAAAGCAAAAAGTAAAGGAATGTGCAGCCTGAATAGTGTTGTCAGATTTCTTTTCATTGGGCCAGCTGGCTTCAGCCCCTCCCTCACAGACACACACGCTCATTTATACACTTACACAGACGGAAACACCGGCAGAGGCCGGGCCAGACAGGAGGTCACCCTACATCTGCGCCTCACGACGGACAGCTTGGTGCATAAAGCTATTCGAAGGCCGCATGATGAGCCGTGGGATCAGCATATGCATGAGTTTACATGGGATCCATAACCCAGCCCATACTCCCCCCAGCAGACGGTCAGTTGCTGCATATTGAATTCCAGCGCTCGGGGCTACAAGAGTGAGGATGAGACGCGTTTCTGCAGCTGTCATTACAACATTTATCACAGAAGCTCCCGCTGAAAGCCACAGCTCAAGTTTCTGCTTTGTGTCACTGCTAAGCCCCCGTGCTGCACCCAGACAGTGCTTTCAGCCACATTTAATGATGCTTTCAAGAATTTTTTGGCTTACGGGTAACATTTGAGTCTTTTAAAAATAGCAAAAAAAGCAAAATCAAGTAAAGCTGCAGGTCGTGGAACCAGAACCGCAGCTCAGTTCACTCTTTAAACATTACAGCTCTCAGCCGACTAGCATTCTTAACCAGGTATTAATAGCCTGATCTCATTATTTGGGGAAGTTGAGTCTACGAGTCTACATTCGTGCCAGATTTAACCGATTTTGCTCTAATTTGCACATTATGGCACACCCGTAGCTACATTACTGTTTTTTTATTTTGTCCAAACAGAAATAAAAAGAAAATCGCGGTAACAGTAGCAGTAATGCGTCACGTTACGATGATAAAGTAATGTGAGCACTACTTCATAACACTCTGTTCTCTGTGGTCTCCTTCCATGCAGATGTTCTTTCTGATATCATCTGTCTGTGTTTGTGGTCTGACTCTGTTTTCCTCAGCGAGGACCAGAGGGAGGACTACTTGGCCCTGTTTGACAGCAGCTCCGACGGACGCAAGAAGTTGGCGAGCCTGAGCAAGACCTCGCCAGACAGAACCACATGGAACATCCTGGTATTTACCTTCGATCTCATTCCCACTCTGTCGTCATGTTTACACCTTTCATAGAGGAAGTTTTACCGCGGCTCGCTGCAGGTTTCTCTTCTGCAAAAGTTTTATTTTGACAAGTTTGTCAAGTTTTCCAACTGATGTGTTCATAAAAAACTACAACGTACGGTACTGCTATAACTCCACAACGG